TATATAACAGACCTCAACTCTATTGTCCCTCTGCAAATTTGTGTACACAAAGTCAATCCCTTACCTCTCTCTACAAGTGCAAAGCTTCAAAAAAGTTCAATGAATAGAAGATTGTTGGAGGCGGAATAGATCTGGACAAGGAGAAGCAGCCTGGAGATAAATGTGAGAAGGGAGGGACAGGCAAAAGAAACAAAAGTGAAACACTTTGAGCAGCATATTCCAGGAGTCTTGAGTCCTTTCTGACTGTAGCCTTCATTGATTTGAGATCTACCATTCCATTCTCTCACTAGAAGAGAAAAGCTATAATGGCAGCAGGCCGTAAGAGAGACCCAGTTTGGGATTATTTGAATGAAGTTTCTCTACCTGTGGGTAAGACAGGCATGCGTGCAAAATGCAAACAGTGCAAGAAAAAAATGCAAGGCCTGGTTGCCCGAATGAAACAACATCATGAGAAGTATTCCTTCTCGGGAGGAAGCTGCGTTGAAGATGATCAAAGGAACATGTCTGAACATGCAGGATCTTCAGGTTGGTAAACTTTTTTATTTCAGACTTCTTTCTTAAGGACTGCCTGTCTTCCTTCTGGACTATTCTTGAATTCTCATGTTTGAGCAAAAAATATAGTTGTTACTCTATGATACTATCATTTTAGATGCAGTTGTGATAAAAAATAAATAGATGAAATACGCAGATCTTCCTTTTACAATTTCACCTTTAAAGTAGTACTGAGTGTCAGTGAATGCAATGAGTAATACTAAATAAGCAGTATGGTAATAATAATTAAATAACTGCATTGACTTATTTTGTTTAGGAGAATCCATCCTCAACATACAGGATTCTGAAGACTATCCACCTTCAAGATCACCACCATCTCTTATAGTTTCAGAGTTATCTGCCAATGATAGTGTTTCAGTCACATCATGTATGTCACATAGCCACAGTTTATCACCTGCAGCAAAAAGAAAAAAAAAAGCCTCCATCATCCAGAAACAGCCATAGATAAGTTTGTAATAAAACCCAGCAAATTACAAAAAGAGGTAATTGTCGAAAAAATTGCCCTGTTTCTTTATACAACAAACTCTCCCTTCCGTATGACTGAGAACCCACACTTCATTAACTTGGTTCAGTCACTAAGACCAGGATACAGTCCACCCAACAGAGCAGATGTCGCAGGCAAATTGCTGGATAAAGTGTATGAAAGAGAAATTGAGCAGTATGCAAAAGCTGTAGAGCATTAAATTGTTAACCTGAGTCTTGATGGGTGGAGTAATGTCCACAATCAGCCTGTTGTATGTGCTTGTGTGACAACAGAAGAAGGGAATGGCTTCCTTACAGAAACAACTGATACATCAGGAAATGCACACACAGCAGAATACTTACAAGAAGTAGCAGTAAAAGCTAGTACAAACTGTGAAAAAAATGCAAATGTCTAGTATGCAGCTTGGTCACAGACTATGCTGCAAACGTATCCAAGATGAGAAGAAATTATTTAGAAGAGAGTCCCACACTAATGACTATACAGTTGCAATGCTCATTTGATGCACCTCCTAGCCAAAGACTTCAGTGTTCCAGAAATAAAGGCTAATGTTGTTGAAATTGCAAAATACTTCCGTAACAACCACTTTTCAGCAGCTCTCTGAACAAAGTGGGAGGAACCAAGCTAACTCTCCCCCAAGACGTGTGATGGAGCTCAGTAGTGGACTGGTTTGAACACTATATCAAGAACTGGCCTTATCTGATGACAGTTTGTGAACAAAATCATGGAAAAAATAGATGGCGCTGTCACAGCCAAAGTTCTCAACATTGGGCTTAAGAGAAACATTGAACACATGCTGAGTACCCTGAAGCCTATTTCTGTCACCTTGAACAAAATGCAGGGAAATAGCGGTTTTATTGCTGACGCTGTTGAATTTTGCAAGGAACCGAGTGAGATCTTAAAAAGAGAAATATGCAATGACAGAGTTAAATTACAAGCATTAAAAAACCGAATGGGACAAGCACTATCTCCAGCTCATTTTCTTGCAAATATTCTCAATACTTGTTACCAGGGTCAAACTTTAACTCCTAAAGGAGAGGAGTTGGCTATGACATGGACAATCATCCCTCCATAATGCCAACTATAATAAACTTCAGAGCTAAGGGTGAACCAGTCAAGAAATATACGTTTGCTGCTGATGTTTTAAAGAAAGTCACCCCAGTGAACTGGTGGAAGTCACTTAAGCATTTGGATTCAGAGACCGTTAAAGTGATAATCTCACTTTTAACAGCAGTAGCTTCTTCTGCCGATGTAGAAAGAATATTTTCTTCCTTTGGACTAAATCATTCCAAATTGAGAAATCGTTTGGGGCCTGAAAAAGCAGGAAAGCTTGTTTTTTTGTTTTCCAGATTACGAACAAACAGGAAAATGAAGGTGAAGATGACTGAGTTAGCTACAGAAGCCAATATTTTAAGTTCCTCATGTTGACCTGGCTGACATAGTCGATTTAATTTTTCTGGGTTTTTTTTAAATGTCATTTAACTATTTTAGTTAAAAACAATTTTAACAAAAGCAAACCTGATTTTATAAAACTTAAATGTTTAGCTAAGTTCAAAAATTCATATGCTTGTTTTGTTAAAATATGTTTGCTGTTAAAGAAAAAAAATCCGGAATACATAACGTTGTTTTAGTTAAATAAAACAATTTAAATGTCTGTCTGGTGATGTTCTCCTTCTAATACAGCATGGCAAGAAAATCTTCCAAATATTAATGATTAACCTGTTGAACTGGAGATAGTTCACCTCTCAATGACTTCATAAATATCTGCTTCAATTACCTTTTGTAAATGAAATAACCAAACAATCATTCATTTTCTGATATAGCTGTAAAACTAATCTGAAAAGTTTTCAAAATAAATCACTTTAAAAACGTATAGTGTGTACCTTCTAAAAATGAAACCTACATCTATCTCTGAATTGTGAAGAATATGTACTAAGGTGATAACAACTAACAAGAATGCACTTTTATGTAGAAATCCATGATTAAATCGAGGCTTCCTGATTAATGATTTAAATCATGATTTGAATCAATTTGATTTAAATCAAATCTCCCTGCCCATGTGTCACCAAAGCAGTGACATCTGCCAGAGATTGTGGGGAGACTAAAATAATAGTGCCAAACGGCATGATTTGCTCCTCTTCAACTCAAGGAGATACTAACTCAATAGATGCCAAATAATAATAATTTGAAGGTCAGAATTATTTACCCTGTCACTGCTGGTTAAAATATGTATAAAAGGGGAGGGACGACCATATTATGAATATGTACTATGAGTGACCTCTCTTTTTGGCACCATAAATGGATGGTGTGCTTGGGCAAGTTCCCCTAGTCAAAATAAAGTCAAGACCAAGGAGCCTAGAAGGGCATCTGAGCTCCTTCAATGTGGAACCAAGCCCAGTGAGCTCATATTATCTATGAATACTAACTGCACCTGTTCAAAATTTTAAAAAATGACAAAAATCTGAGGCCTCCTAAATTTTCATAAATCTATTGCTTTTTTGGTACTTTGTGGCAGCAAAGGCTTCTCTTTCCCATGTGTACCTTGCTTGTGTCAATTATTTCTTGGTGACTTTAAGACTAGATTACAATGGTGTACTTGGGACTGCATCTTAACTCTATTCAGAAAGTGACAGAATGCATGTTTAAGCAGGGAACCTTGATGTTAATATATTGTATTGGTGCTCTGTGGTCTGCATTGGTTGCCTGTTGGTTTCTGATTGAGTTTAAGCAGTTTGCATTTACCTATAAGCCTTAAGTGACCTGATATTTGTCTAAGAGACAACCTCTCTCCCCTTGCTATACTGCCAAGGTTGTGATCGACTGAGACAGTCAAAACTGAGTCCCTTTGATTGAAAGAAAGGAAGTTGCTGTCAAAGAGTTATCCAAAAGACCCTATAGCGTTGGAACTTGTTTCTCACTTATGTGAAATAGCTCAAAAGTGTTGACCTTCAGTGTCTTTTTATTGGGGTTTTTGTGGATGAAGACCTTTTTTGGGGGACAGTATTTAAGGAGGCTGAGATACTTTTTCCTCATCTTGCTGTACTGTTTAATTAGTTACTACTATATATTATAGGGCTGCTACATTTTAAATAGCTCTTAAGGACACCTAGAGTTTGGGATAGCTACCGTTTTATTCCACCTATATACCCAAATAAACATAGAGAGCCGCCACCTGGAGCTCAATCCACATCATTATGCAGCTTTGCTCTCTTAATATGGTTTCCAAATCTGATGCTTGCTTCAGGAGAGCAGTCCCAGTAACTGTTCAATACCCACTGAAGTCAACTGAACTCTCTCCACTGAGTTTAATGGGCAGTAGATCAGGCCCCAAGTTTCCTCCTCAAAACCAGCTTCTTAGAAAGTTATTTCTTTTATCCATTTCCAAAGGATAGGAATCTGTACTGGCAATATTGTAAGCAGGAAGAAGCAACCCATCTTAAATGGAACTCTTCAAAGTTCCTTGTTGGCACAAATGCACACTCACCAGCTTCCATCTCCACTCTTGTGGAGTCTACTCAAGATTCCAAGAAATTAAAAAGACCCAAGGCTGCATGTGGGGGTCACACCTCTTGATATGACCACTCATGGAATGTTGCAAAGCTTAAGGTGAACTCCACGAAGCCTCACAATATTCAGAACTTTCCAAAGGGTTCCAAGCCAGCAGACCTCAAGAGTGTGAATCTGTACTGACAATCTACATGAAGAACTGCAAATACAGGAATAATTTCTTTCTTCAACCCTTAATTGGGTAAGAATTATTTCTTTAAATACCTCCAATCTTTATTATACATTACCCCTCAACTGTTATAAACCATTCCCAAGTTTTTAGAATTTTTAAACTTGTAAAACAAAGGCATAATTACTGTAAATCTTAAGGAGTTTTAATATTTTGTAATTATCTGATATTTTAGCTGGTGTGGTGTTTTTACTAAACAAATAAATAAAAGAAAATCAATATTGCTCTTACCTTCCAGAGATCAGGCGATCCTTCAATAAGTTTGGCATTTGTTTTACAGTATTTTAGAGCCAAGTGCAAACATTCTGTCCCATAATCCAGGTCATAATCAGTACACTGTAGCAATTAAAACAAGAACAAATTTGTTATTGTATTTAAGAGTGTAATTACCATATTAATGGTCTAAATGACAAAATATTTTGTCTCATTTAACCACATTTTGTGTCCTTAGAGTTCTATCCACAGCACTGGCGCCTTAACAGTTGTGTAGGTTAGGACTGAGGCGCTTTGGCGCAGTTATGCCAGGAAGCCGACCCTGTTCACACGATGCCAGACTCTAGTAATTTATGGACTTTCATGAGTCTAGATAGACTTGCCACACCATTAGGTACTGAACTTTGATGATCAGAAGTTACAGTTATGAAAGGCTGCTGATGAGGCCTTAATTTCTAACGGGTATCATGGAAATAGTTTAACAGTAAACTTCATAAGGATGTGGAGCTGGGTAGCTAGCCATGGAAGAATGGGCTTTTTCATTTAAATACATTGTTCATTTTGTCTTTTGAACTGTGGGAGATGGAGGCCAAGGGAGTTAAATGAGATTTCCCACATCCCTTACAGATCTGTGCATCTGCCATTTATTTGTTCCCATTTTTATACACATACAGAACCCTAGAGTAACAAGTCTCCATGTTATAGCCACAAGTTTTCAGATGAAGACAAGTGGCTGGAATTCCATTTGCTTTCCTATCAGCATGAAAGAGCACTCTCCCAAAACACCCTCCTTCTTCACCCCTCACACCTTTCAAGCAGCTGAGCACATCTAAATTATCGAGGACTTGAAAGGCAAAAATATTCAGACAGGACAGCAAAATTAGGGGACAGATTTTCCAGATTTTTTTCATCACAAATTTCATCACAGATTTTTTTCATCACAAAGCATAGACTGCGGTACATGACTCCCTGAATCTCAAGCTGTAATGGCCCTGATGCAAGTGAAACAGCCCTTAGGCTACATTACACTCCCTAAAGGACCACAAACCAGCTCAGAATTGTGTTAGAACTCTGCACCCTTCATCTCCCAGCACAGGGATGTAAGGGGTGAGGATGGCATAGGCGACAGCACTGCAGGGGAAATTCCCTAGATTATGTTCTGTTTGTACTGCTCAGGCAGTGCAAAGTGTCCAAACCTCTAGAATCTAGCAGGTCTCCTATACACAAATTTCACTATTAAATTCTTCTTCCTTGGATTTGGTGGGCACTGCAAAAGTGCCAGGCTCAGTGCAGAGAAGTTGTTTATCATGTTCAGTTTTGGAACACATAGTTAACATAAATAGTTCTAAATTCTGACTTAGGGTACCACTCAGATATAGCTGCAAATGCTCCGGAATAACTGCAGTTATTATTTAAAAATAAGAGTTCACATCAGAGCCCAGGGAAAAATACATAGGAAAAAGTTTTCGTCCTCCAAGCTCTGAGTAATTAAAATATAGCATGACTACACAATTAAATGTAGCAGACAGCAATTTAGAAGAGGAAAACCAAACCAGAACACTTTAACACAGCAGTGGGCAAGGAGTGGGGGTGAACCCAAACTATTTATACTCATATACTTCAGTCCTGACATATAAGCAGGGAGTATGAAATTGAGAAATTTTACAGAGCTACAGAAAAAGTAACCCAATACAGTTATTTTAGATTCCTGCCCCGCCTTCCTTTTCTCTCTTGTTCCATTTAGGAAACAGAAAACAACAACAAACCCTAACATGTCAGCTGTGAGTTTCTTTAAAGTCTATTAGGCTGACTACAGAAGGTAGGAGCAACAATACTATAATGTGACTCACAATAGTCTTGTATTTCCTCAGTAAGTTTAAGTGTAAGGGTATGTCTATATTTAAAATGCTACAGTGGCACAGTTGCAGCAGCTTCATTGTAGACATTCACTACAGCAACAGGAGCGTTCTCCCATTGCTGTAGTTAACCCACTTCCCTGAGAGGCAATAGCTAGGTTTATGAAAGAACTCTTCCACAGGCCTAGCACTGTCTACACTGCGGGTTAAGTCAGCACAGCTATGTCTCTGCAGCTGTAGATTTTTCACACCCCTCGGAGACATAACTAGGCCAATGTAAGTTCCCAGTGTAGAACAGCCCTCTGACAAATAACAATGTTGATGTAAGATTCCCTTTGTTCCTGTTTATCTCTTGCAAGGTATCTGTGAAATGCCTAAAGGAATATATCAGATAAAGAAAATAGAACTGTATGAAATTCTAATGGCCTCTTAGTGTAATACTTAAATGAATAAGAATAATTGGTTTTCCAGTCAGTCATCTTGCAACCAGCAAGAAAAGCTTTTTATCCCTCCAATTTTTTTTTAAAAAGCTGAATTTTAGCAGTATATTTCCATAGCCATTTTTAATAGCTTTAGGTAAGAAAATAAAACAGGAGCATGAATTAAGGTGTAACACACCTAAAAAGAAAGGGAACTTGTTTCAGGAAACTATTCATACAATCATAACAAGAGCAATGAAAAAAGTTCCACAATTTTATTTACATTACACAAAGCTGTTATATGCCATACACTAAAGAACTAAATCACATCCACAACAAATATCCTGCAGCATGGAATCAGGCTTTCTGATATATATAATATGGGATTGTAAGTTACGCACACATTTGGATTTAGGGACAAAATATTCAAAAAAACCAGTAATATTGGTGGTATTTCAAGTGGGTCTCAATGCCAATCAATCATTTATTATTAAAAATTTTCCCTCCTTAAGAGGTATGTATACACAAATTATTTTCTAGTAACACAGACTCACAGACTTTAAGGACAGAAGGGACCATCATGATCATCCAGTCTGATTTCCTGCACATTGCAGGTCACAGAACCCCATCCACCCACTCCTGTAGAAGTGGGTCCATAAATTCTGGCTGAGTTACTGATGTCCTCAAATCTTGATTTAAAGACTTCACGTTACAGAGAATCCACCATCTACTCTAATCCAAACCAGCAAGTGACTTGTGCCCCATGTTACAAAGGCAGGTGAAAAACCCCCAGGATCTCTGCCAATCTGACATGAAGGAAAATTTCTTTCTAACCCCATATATGGCAATCAGTTAGACCCTGAGCATGTGGGCAAGACCCACCAGTCAGACGCTTAGGAAAGAATTCTCTGTAGTAACTCAGAGCCCACCCTGTCCTATAATCCTGTCCTATCTATGGTCACTGGAGATATTTGCTGTAACAGTCACAGATGGGCTACATGCCATTGTAGGAAACCTCATCATACCATCCCCTCCATAAACTTATCAAACTCAATCTTGAAACAAGTTAGGATTTTGTCCCACTACTCCCTTGGGAAGGCTGTTCCAAAACTTCACGCCTCTGATGGTTAGAAACCTTCTTCTAATTTCAAGCCTAAACATATTGATGGCTAGTTTATATCTACTTGTTCTTGTGCCAACATTGATCCGTAACTTAAATAACTCTTCTCCCTCCCTAGTGTTTATCCTTCTGTTGTATTTATAGAAAGCAATCATATCTCCTGTCAACTTTCATTTTGTTAGGCTAAACAAGCCAAGCTCCTTAAGTCTCCTCTTGTATGGTAAGTTCTCCATTCTTCTGATCATTCTAGTAGCCCTTCTCTGCACCAGTTCCATTTTGAGTTCATCTTTCGTAAACATGGAAGACCAGAATTGCACACAGTATTCCGTATTAGGTCTCACCAGTTCCTTGGAAAGTGGTAATAACACTTCTCCATCTCTTCCAGAAATACATCACCGGATACATCCTAGGACTCATTCGCCGTTTTCTTGTTGCTAGTCCCTAAGTGCATGAGCTTTCACTTTGCACTAATAAATTTCATCCCATTTCTATTAGTCCAGTTTTCAATGTCATCCAAATCTTCTTGTATGATATCCCAGTCCTGCTTTGTTATTAGCAATACCTCCCAATTTTGTGTCATCCACAAATTTTATTTGCACACTCCCACTTTTTGTGCCAAGGTCATTAATGAAAATATTCAATAAGATTGGTCCCAAGACTGATCCTTGAGGAACTCTATTGGTAACCTTCCTCTAGTATGACAGTTCACCTTTTAGTATAACCCAGCACAGTCTCCCCTTTAACCAGTTCCTTACTTACTTTTCACTTCTTGTATTAAATCCCCATCTTCTCCAATTTAACTAATAATTTCCCATGTGGAACTGTATCAAATGCTTTACTGAAATCCAGGTAGATTAGATCTACTAAGGGCTTGGCTACACTTGCGAGTTAGAGCACATTAAAGCAGCCCCGGGCACCCTACTCGTCCACACTGGCAAGGCACGTAGAGCGCTCTGACTCCGCAGCTACAGCGCTCCTGGTACTCCACCTCGGCGAGTGGAATAACGTTTGCTGTGCCTAGGCTACAATGCCCGGGCATCAGTGTGAACAAGGTGTTGCATTACTGCGCTCTGATCGGCCTCCGGAAACGTCCCATAATCCCCTTAAGTCAAGCGGCCACTCTTGTCATTGTTTTTGAATCACTGTAGGAATGCCCTTTGAAAGCTCCGTTTCTGACAGCCAGCTGCTTATCTGCTCCGAGACAAAGCAACCATTAGTGTGGAATGCTGTGTGAGAGAGAGAGAGGCGGGGGAAGAAAGGGGGTCTGCTGCTGTCTGAACTTACAAGAGAGCATGGTGACATGCTCTCAGCCCCCCAAAACCCACTCTCTCTCCCCCCACATACACACAACACACTCCCTGTCACAGTACACCCCACCCCATCCCCTTTTGAAAAGCACATTGCAGTCACTTGCATGCTGGGATAGCTGCCCATAATGCACCGCGCCCAATGCCGCTGCAAGTGCCGCAAATGTGCCCACGTCAGTGCACTTGAAGTTGTCAGTGTGGACAGATTTCAGCGCTTTCCCTACTGTGCTCTCCAAAGGCTGGTTTAACTCAAAGCACTCTACATCTGCAAGTGTAGCCATACCCTAAATTTCCATTAACTGAGTTTCTAATCTGGACAATCTTCTCAAAGAAAGAGATCAGGTTGGTCTGATGTGTTCTTTCATAAAGTCATGCTGCATTTTATCCCAATTACTGTTCACCTCTATGTCTTTAATTACTC